TAAAAGCCCCAAAAAATACTTTTTAAAAAAGATGTCACTAAATCCACCAATAAAAAGTTGCTTACAAGCTATATTTGATACCCTGTAGGTGAAGAATGGATAGACAGATGGATACATGGGTTAGAGGGGGCTTAATCCTGCGGACGTCCACAATCGGCTCCTCAGCTGCACCACCCACAAAAAGTCATCAACCAGGCCTCTGTATTCATCCTCTGTTGCCCCCGATACAACGCACAATGGCAAAATCATCAGAGGACTTCCGCAGGTGGCATGAATCTGTGAGTCTGAGTCTGTTGCTGAAGTCAGAGGTGTATATCCTAGAGTAAACAGGAAGTGGTAGAAGACAGTCCTCTGAGTGGCCCCTCTGTTACTCATCACAGTTCCTCACACTCAGATCCTCAGTTTTACAAGCTATGGCCTGCCGATTAGATAATTTGTTATATGTGGAGTGCTATATGACCCTGGGATTGTCTCCCAACAGAGGCAGTATGGTGTTAAAAGAACTTGAGAAATCAAAGAACATGATCCTCACTGTGCACCCAGTTTGGTCCAGGTGGGAATAACCTTGTCGAAGCAGGTAAATGACAAACTTCAGGGGGTCCAATGTTGTTCTGACCAGGGCCTGAAGGTGGTAATCAGTCTCTCCAAGGGTTATCATCATGTTTGATGGGCCACAGGTCTTGTCATTTAAGACTTTTGTGTGCTGCTTCTTGGGTACTGAGACCAGGGATGTATGATACACCACCATCCATGCTCATGCTATCATGTCCTGAAGTCTTTCCTGAGTACAGTCTTTGCAGCCCTCTTTTAAGGCTTGGGGGGGCATTTGTCAAATCTGTTGAAAAACAAGTTCAGCTCATCAGCCCAGATAGCTGTTTGTAAAAGAGTTATAAAAATTGCAGACTTTTTCTTCTCATTCAGATGATTGGTTAGAAACTATACGATATTTATCTTTTCATGTGATAATATATTTATTGTTCCTGTACTCAATAATAAAGAGCTTTTATTTAACTCTACCCCATTCTTCTGCTGGAACATTTTTTCAGAAAACAAGTCCAAACTTCATCCTCTTCTAGAGAAAACTATCTACCTTCTTTGCTGCTTTGAACTTTATGGGAAGGACTTTTAAAATTGTATACGCTCAATAACTCTTATATTTGTTTCTATTTTTTACTTGTTTAAATATTTGTTTTTGTCTGTTATGTGTTCAGTATTTTAACATGTACATAAAGAAGATGGTTAATAAAGTATATATATATAAAAAAAGGAAAAGAAAACCGGGACCTTATAAGGACCCATCAGAGCCTGCTCTGGCTATCTCAAAATCATTTTTTTTATCCAAATTTTAAAGAGCTCTGTTTAAAAAAAATACAAACCAACACACGCATAAAAAACAATCATTTACTGACAGAAAAACAATACCCCTCGACATATGATCCAAATGTACAAAACGAGTCGGTCATTCCCACCAGGCGGTATCCTCGGACTGCTACTGCGTTGTGTATTTTCCTCTCGACAAGAAGCTCTGGGATTAACAAAATACTCCAGAGATGCGTGTGTCTCCCTGCTCACCTCTGTAAAACATTCTCCATTAACCCTTCCCGTCACTAAAGTGGTGTTACTGCGCCTGTTTCTCTGTTTATCCCACTGTGTTGCGGAGGAATGATAACGTCTGTGGCTTTGAGCGGAGCCGGGAAACGAACTTGCCACCTGAGCTAACTTGCTAGCGCGTTAGCAGGCTCGGCTCGACGACACAACAGGCTCCGCTGTTGGGAACACGGTGTGCTCTCGTTGTCGGTCGACCCAGCGCTTATCGAGGATAGTATCGGTGGTTTTTGTTGGTGTAGATAACAGTATCACGGTTGTCTTGGCCGTGGGATGGGCGGGCACCAGCTCACTTGGTAGCAGGCGAGCTAACAGAAACTTAGCCGGTCCCCAGCGTCCTCGCAGCGTTCAGCCAGAGCACTGCTCTCATTGCGCCGGCTAAAAATACACGTCCCATGCTCAGTGCCCCTCCAAAAGTGGTGGGGTAGTCCATATTGGACTTGTCTTCGGCTTCTCTGGTCACCTTGCTCGGGGGTTGGCGCTCTACATGGTCACTACAGTGAATTTAAGACGACTTGAAGAGCGAGTCGGACCCCGGGGTTGTGAGCCGAGCTGGCCTGATCTGACGCTACATCGTACGGGCCGGTGGGCTTCAGGTCTCCGAGTGGACGAAACCCTGCACTGGCTGATCCGTGGCCGAATATCATTTTGCTCTAATGGCCTTGTCCTGTCATCGGTAGTAGTGTAACGAGTCTTGGGTCCAGTCCAGGGTTGCGAGACCGAAACTTGGTGAAGGTCAGAGAAAGACGCTTTTGTTTCCACTGTCAGAGATCATACAGACTTTATCTGTCCGGAGCAGAACACCATGTCGGAGGATAACAACGCAGACAAGTTCATCAAGGTAATTTCAACACATGATAGTAATCACGTTTTGGTCTTTATTTAATGGCGTTTGAACGTTCACATGATTTAGCTGCTACTTCTATGGACATGATCTTAATTGCTAATTGCTCTAATTATGGTTCCACTTCCAGTGAACACTGCACCAAGAACTACACTTGAATCTGATACTGTGAGACTGTCATAGGTTGTAACATGGCATCCCCTGACTGCACAAGTGTGTGTGTGTGTGTGTGTGTGGCTTACAAATAGCAGACATGTGAATCATGAAGAATATTGCGTTGTGGAAAGTTTTACCCTTGATAAACATTACTGGTGGAGCTTGGATCTATCCCACATGGTCATGAACTGGCAACACTTCTGTACACCTGTGCTCTGGGATTTGTTCCTGCCTGCTCCCCTTCAATGTGTCGCCCGGGCATTGATGTCAGCAGTAAAATGTGATCTCAAGTGGCCCTGGCTCCCACTTTCGCAGCTGGGTCGCTATGTATCTAATGCTGGGTTGACTGGGTTTGATGGCGCTGAGAACTGGAACACACACACTGGGCCGTTGACAACGATAAGTTGGTTAGCCAGCTAACTTTGGGCTTTACCCAGGCTCTCTGGTATCAAGAGCCTGGCACCAAGAAGTCATCGTAGTAACCTTTGCTGCACGCTGCAGGTTCACTTCAGAGAATTGGATCCGAGAGTGTAAACAGCCTGTGTAGTTTTTGCGTACCCACATTGCTCCACATGACTCAACAGTTATATTGTGTGGTTATATGTTGCTCCTGATCTGTTGATGACGCACGTGGTTGGCTTGTATTTACAAACCCTGCCTCTTCCACGTGAACCTGCTCAAAGCTGGACTGGTAAACCTAGAATTAACAGACCTACTTGGTTACCAGCTTCATTAGATCCATTATCCAGGGCCGATGTTGGGTGTAGGGCAGTAAGATCGTTCACAGAGATGAAGTACAGACCCGTTGGTAGTTGTGTAGTAAAGACCAGCCCCTCGTCCTATGTTAAGTAATCACCGCAAATCCTAGATTGGACTGGCCAGGCTGGTGGGGAGGAGACATTATGGTAGCTGCTGGCACTGGCACCCAATTAAACTCCTTGTGCTGGCTAAGACCAAAACATGTTCTGATCTTAAGTTGTGTAACTGAAAGTGTAAGTGGAGGATGGGTCATTTAACAGCCTTTACCTTCATACAGCAGGAAGTTGGGACTATTGGCAAAACAAATATGTATTCAAATCCCAGTCTGAAGAACTCCATCCCAGTAATTTAACTAAATGATTACAGAGGCCGTCTCCCAGTGCTTCACTCCTTCCTGAATAGCATCTCATCCTTCTTTTATAATCCTTTTATAGGCAGCAGTTGCCAAGCTAACCCAGACGTATGTGTTTTATAGCAGCCAAACTGTCTATTTCCTTTTTTTTTTTAAAGTATAATCTGTGTTAAGGATTAGCACTATTGTGAAACTAGACAGGTGATAAAGGATAAGATGGCTATTACCCAACCCAGTGCGAGGAAAATAAAGTCTATATTACAATTAACAGCACTTTCAGTTGCTGCTCTGGATACTCTGTATCCATGGGGGTGTGTGGAAGTGGGCTGCTCATTTGCACTTAATCCTAGGTTTGTAAAACATACCAGCTGCACAAAGCTTTTTCTCGTTTTTTTTTTTTTAAACGTCTGATTTATTGTTTGGTGCGTTTTCTCTTCCCAACAGGAGACCTCCATTCTAGACGAGTACAACATAAACTGGACACAGAAGTTGGGAGCCGGCATTAGTGGACCTGTCAGGTGAGTTTGAGAAAGAGTGTGTTAAGAAGTACTTCTGTCCAAGGTTTCTCTCCAGTCTCTAAATATTATATTTTGTCCTGATTTGACTTTGCTTGCGCTGCATCGCATCCAAGTCGAACTGTTTTATCACCATCACCAGGAGACATGATAATGGCGTCTGTTATTGGGAATCATTTGTTGAATTGTCTTGCTTGTGTCAGTGGAGCATCGTTTTTGATTATACTGGGAGAAATCTGACGTGCAGTGTGGAGCCCAGCTGTGAGCAGAGCCAGGGTCAAGTGAGAGTGATTTTCTAGTTTTGTTTAGATCTGAAAACAGTGTAGCGTGACTCAGAATATTCTTTTGCATTGCTAAAGCCCGGTTGTGAATACTGCTGTAGGGTTCATGTTCATATGAACCTGAAGTGGTTGCAGCTGGATTATGATGTGTTGTCAGAGCTGATTATTTGCTAACTGGGCTGTCGAATGGACAGACTTGGTGACAGTTTTTGTGAAAGAAACTACTTCTCCTGTGGTTTTATTGCATCGTGTTTACTGTGGAACCAATTCACCAGCACAGTTTAACTTTATCCTTCACACATTAACACATGTTGAGAATATTAAAGGGCCAGATGCTTGTCACTTGTCTAGGCTTTAACATACTGGACCGACTACTAGTGTGTAACACCGCCACAACTTGAGGCTTAATACAGAGATGTTTGGCACCGGTACCATTTTTGTTGTAGTTGGTGGAGGCCCATTTGGCTCAGACACAATCCATGTAACTGCAGCGTCCTGGGCTCGAATCCAACCTAAAAATGTTGTACCAACCTAACACTCTTGAGTGGAAGTATCTTAGCCTTTTTGTTTTCTTGTGCAAATGAATACATGTAAACATGTTGAAAATGGCTTGTGTGTTTACATCTAATTCCTTTGCTTTTTTAGGTTTTAGTCCACATGCTATAAATGAAACTTTGTGCAAAACAGCTAACCTTCTTTTAAAAAGCTGCACTCAGATCGAATAGTGGATGCACAAGAGATCAATGATAAAACTCAGCAGTTTTCTTTATCTGTGCACTCCCCTCTGCATTCTTCTCTCTAATGTTTTCCACACATAAGCAGTAATATATCACAGGAAAGCACATTATTTCTGAAATACTAACTGCGCAGTAATGACTTTTCAGCTTTTTTACATTTAACCCATTAAGAAATTACTTTAAGTTATGCGGAGAGTCTAAAGGACAGATTTAAGTGGCCATCAGGCGTGGTAACAGGACTTTTGTCGTGAAAACACTAGAGATGTCAATCTGGATTGACCTCCAACCTGAATCAATATCTCCAGAAGCATTGGCCAGTGATGGGTGCATTTTTTTCCTCCTTTTTAAACTGTGCAGCAGTATTCTCCTCCCATGTATGTCAACAATGTTGACCTCTGCCCTCACTGCCTCAGCTATTACTGGTATAATCCCTTCATTGTTTGTCTTTAGATTTTTTCAGTTACTGCAAACCTTTTCAGTGGTTTTGTTTCAGTTTTTCTTCTTACTAATTGGTATATAGATATATTTTAACACAGGCTGTAATATATCAATGTGTGTCACCGATTCCTCCTGCCCATTCTGCACTTTGAAGCTATCATGGGTCTGAATCAGCAGGGAGCAACATGTTATTTCCTAACGTGTGTAGTTTTGGCCTCAAGTGACAAAAACACTGAGAAACTGACTCATCAGCCCTCCATGTAATCACTCTCTGATGATTCATGCTGTACTATGTTTCTTTTTGAGCACATCTTCCTTACCCCGTCTTTTATTAATACTCTGTATTTTACTCTGATTCATGGAGATGTGTGCCTAATAGGAATCGTTTTTTATTCTCCTTCCTCCACTTCCCTCTTTCTGTCTCATAACACACTTCTGTCTTTTAATGTACCAGCCCCCCTCTGTCTGACTCTGTGATTCATTAGGTTGGTATTGCTTTCCAGTGAAGTGAACTTTGGCCGAAGCAGAATGTTTCTCGCAGTAATGCCTTAATAGTGTAATCTGAGTTTACAGGCCAGAGGTTGCCGTTTAAAGTGAATATTTGAGTCCTTGCTGCTCAGAGGAAGGAGAAAGGAGTTCAGACTTTTTAGAGAATGAAGTCAACATTTCAATATTTCACTCACACTTTCACACAAGCTGTCGCTGCTGAACTGTGACAAGCAAATACAGATTATGACCACTAAACAACATTTTCCTCAGGCTCTTTTATCAACCTTTTATTATAGGGGTGTTCCTCTGGTACATGCTATGTTTTAGTTGTGTGCACGATAAGGATGAGTTCAGTAACATTGTCTTGGTCTGTCTTGCAAATTGCTTTTGTATTCATGTGTTTTCTGCTGCAGTCCTAAGATGCACTCTGAAGAAAACCATTGCCAAGAGACATTCATGAATATGAATACATGAACATTTTATGACGGACTTAGGTGGCTTTCTTTGGTTTTACAGAGATGCAGACAAGATTTATATTTCCCATAACAAACTGTGATGTTGGCAAAATACTGTTCCTAACTCTAGCTAGTCGGCTGATGTCTTGTCAGGCCAAATTTAACTTCACAGCACATATTGTAGGCTTTAAGAGAGTGTAAATGTATAACAGTTTAAAAACCATGTTCTTGTACATAGAAATTGATAATAAAGCTAAAAGCTACTGGAATAAAGAAGGAAATTGATCCCTAAACATGACTTCAAACAAGAGTGGGACCAAGCTGATATAGAATATACATGATCCGGTCACTGCCGAACAAGATCATTTTAACAACATTAAGGCTATTTCAGGTGAAACCAAAGGAGAATACTTTATGGTTTGGGGTCAATGGATTTCTTGAACATTGTACCTTTTTTACTGGTGGCAAAGGTGACCGCACATCGGCCGAGGAAAAGCAGAGCGTAACCGCACGCTGGATCATAGCTCCCAAACTTTATTAACCTACACACTGGGTCCAGCTGTGTTATGTACTTCTGGAGACCGACTGGCATTTTATTGAACATTTGATCCCCTCTAGGACAAATTTGTGGTTCTGGGCTATATAAATAAAGTAGACTTGACTTCATAATGATCATGTTTCTTTACCGTACAAACAAGAATGCTGGCAAAATGCCTGGCTGTATATTTTACACACAGACACAGTGAATACATCTTGCAGACAAGGGTCTAGAAACTACCTTATTGATTCTTTGCATACATGATCGCATCTGTGACACAGATTGGGTTATCATGTTTGTTGATTCTTGTTTTCTTCCTGTTCAGAGTTTGTGTGAAGAAGTCAACTCAGGAACGCCTGGCCCTGAAGATCCTCATTGATCGCCCCAAGGCCCGAAATGAGGTTAGAGGAAACACTGTTGCAGTTGTGATTAATGTCTGTTGTCTTTGGCTGTATCAATATGCTTTCGTCTGTCTGCCAGCCTGTTTGTATGGACTTTATTGTCCGTAACATTGTCTTCCTGTGGTGAACAGTGCATGTAGCAGCCTCTCCATGTCATTAGCAGACTTCTGTTTTGATCACGCAGCTTATACAGCAGTGAGACATGCAGTCAAAACAAGCAACACAGGCTTACTTCACACAAGCAGTCGCTGCTGAATAATATACGATAATGAGGAGTTCACTAACACCGTCTTGGTCTGTCTTGCATTTTGCTTTTGTTTTGTCTGCACTGTATAATTTGCAACATTGCAATCATTTAGTTGGATGAAGCCTCCTTATTGTTGGCTGCGTAATTTGCAGTTCAGTTCTATTTGTAGAATCTCAGTAAAGGTAAAAACCTATTTCTGTTGTGGTTCTCGTGTCACAGCTCCTGTACTAAGTACTAGACCAACTTGAGTTTCCAGGTGTTCATCTCTCTCGCCACCACACACACACACACACAGAGAAAGACAGGGTTAGGCTAAACAACGCTCAAGCAGTAATGTACATAGGTTGGATATTCCTGAATTTCTGTTACAACTTGTCCACACAGGAAGTGTTTTAGACACATGTTTTTTAATGGAAACATAGTAACTGGAATTTACAATGCAACCATAGATATTGATATCAGGATATGAAAGCACATATATCGTGGTAGAATGGGCATTTTTACCAATAACATAGCAATAGAAATGTGTCCCAGTTAGCCATGACTGCATGACTTTGTGCACAATACTAGGACCCTGAAACTGAAGTAGCTACATGTTACATGTCAAAATGTCTTTTTGTTACTCATATTGCACAACCCCCCTATTAGTTCGTATTATTAGTTGACTTGCCCACTTGGTAAAACTACATGACCTGGGCATCCATAATGAGATACAGCAAGGAGGGGAAACACCTTCACGGACAATAGATGCTCTTTCATCTAT